TAGTCTAGCCTCCTCCCTACCTGAGGCAGGATCAGCCCTGTCCAAACCATCTCAGAGAAACCCATCGTCCAGCCTCTTCATAAAACTACCATCAGCCATGACACTGCATCAGCCATCGCACCCTGACCTGCTACGGGGAAAGCAGAGAAACCAGGGTGGCCAACGTCCTGCTGTTGCACAAGTTGTTAGTGCACACCCCAGAGATTCCAGGTAGAGGCTGCAGAGGAAGGCAACCCCACAGCCTATACCAATCTGACCAGGGGGTAAAATTCCCTCCTAAACCCAAAGATGGCATTGGACTGACTCTGAGTGGAGGGGCATGACCCTTTAGTCAGGATCCTCAAGGTCGGAGTCCCAGTAAGAGCACTGGCTCAACCTGGTCACCATCCCCAGCCTGGGCTACAGCCAACACTCAATGCCTCTGAGGAAGCTTAGCCCCCTCCTACATGTAACATATCATGCAATAAAGGTACCGGCCACATGTCCAAGTAATTATCGTATGATAAAAATATTCATCCAGCTATAAAAAGAGCCAACCAGCTGTAATGTCAGTGCTTGAAAATGTGTTACAACTTTATAGCTGGTTTCTATTTAGCTTTAATAAGGGCAGGGCCCTTAAGTCCCTGCTACACGTTATATATATTATGTAATTCACTGGTGAATCGTGCAATAAATTTAGACCGGTCACACGTGCAAAGTAATTGTCACGCCATTAACTGGTTAATCACGCAATGAACGTAGACCAGCCATACTGCAAAGCAATTTGCGCACAAATCACATGATTAAAATGACTCTTCAGCTATAAAAAGTGTCAACCAGCTACAACGTCAGGGCCTGAAAATGTGTAACAACTTTATAGCTGGTTTCTATCCAGTTTTAATTTTAACGTGTAACAGGGCCCTTATTCACACTGGTATAAAAGGACGGGTCGAACTGCTGTGCTATCAAGCTGGATTTTTTTATGGTTTCTTGAGACTTTTCCTGTTCTACCAAGCCTGATCCATCCAGAATGAGCTGACTAAACATAGCTTTGTGATGGGGCACTGCCTGTTCTTGTATTCCTGGCTTCTTCTGTCAGCTAAAACCTTGGGTTTTGAGATTAAAAGCTCTAGAAAAAATTTGGGCTGCTTCAATCCTGAGATTGCTCCCCACCTTTGAATGCTTGGCAATGTGCGGATGGGAGGGGAAGGTTGGGGCACAGGGCACCTGGGTTCTAGTCCTCTCTTGGCTCCAGGCTAGCTGCTTTGTGCTCTCCATGCCTTGGTTTACCTATCTCTGAAGTAAGCGATAGCGATACCAATATTCTCCCCTGTATGCTTGGAGATTTGCTGGGAGGCAGCTGCTGGGTGAGATGGATGAGTTGATCTTCAATCCTTTCTGAAGATGACATCCAATCATAGGTCACATGGGTATTAGCTCTACAGGCCATAAACACGGCATGAAATAGAGCCAACCAAAGAATACAGATCCCTGCTTAGAGACCATGGATTGCTTTAGATCCATTTCCTTTCTGCTTGGAGATACCTCAGTAAGAAGCCCTTGAAGAAGCTGCAGGTGGCGGGTAGAGTTGACCAGGCCCAGACAGGACCATGATGATTTATACATCCATCAATTTTGGAGCCTTGAATCTCCACCTCCTTGGATAGCACAGGCCATGAACCCTTCATCCCATAGCTTGGAGCTTACTGGGAATAACGTGTCTTCTGCCAAAGACTTGGCTTGGGTTAGACACGGAGAAGCCATCACAATCATGGAGAGTTTGTTCCAGCTGTAGATCACCAGATCACTGTCACTGGAAATAAACCAAGGTCTTACCGTATTTCCTTGGATACCACACGCCCCCTTCCCTGCCCAGAATCAGCCCTCCGAAATTGGGGTACACGTCTTAAGCCAAGAAGCTGTTTTTTTCTTTGCTGGAATAGAAGCAGGGAGGAATAGAAACATGGAGCTCATCCGGGTCCCAGCATGGCTGCCATTTTTCCTGGCTCCAGCAAGCAGAAGGGGACACTCTGGGACCTAGCTTTGTTGCTGTGACACCACACCACAAAGTTCCAGCTGCCTTAGCCAGACTGTCTCTCAGGATGTGACACTTCCTGGACCCTTTTGTTTTCCAGGAGGACTTGCTCTATGTCACGCCGTTGGCCAGGACTCTGGATAAATCTCTTCCAAAACAGAGGCACAGGTCTTATGTGGAGGCACGTGGTATGTGAATCATTGAGAAGTGGGACTCATAGGGACCTCACAAGGTCACATCTAGTCCAATTCCCTGCCTGAGGCATGATCAGCTGTGTCCAAACCTTCCCAGACAAATCCAGCATCCAACCACTTTGTCAAATGACGTCAGGCCTGAGGCAGCACCAGACATCATAGCCCATCCTGCCACGGGGAAGCCAGGGGCCCACGGTGGCCAACGCCCTGCTGCTGTCAAAGGTTGTTAATACACACTCCAGATAGATCCAGAAGAAGGCAAACACCCCTCCAAATTCCTTCCTGACCCTCAATATGTCATTGGTCTGACCCTAAGCAGAAGGGCAAGACCCTCTTTAGGACCCTCTGGGGTTGAGTCCCAGCCTGATCATTGGCCCAGCCCAGTCACCATCCCCAGTCTGGGCTGCAGCCAACGCCCAATGCCTCTGGGGAAGGCTTAAAAATGCCCTGATGCATGTAGCAGAAAGGTGGGGGGCAACCAGCAACAGCTGAACCATTGTCTGCAGGGGATCCGGGAAGGGGCAGTGGCACACCTGTACCTCCCTTTTCAGATTGGATCCACCCTGGAGCCTCTGGTGACTTCTTTAAAGACCCCAAAGCAGTAAGAGTCCACAGGTGACTGGTAGGGGGTACACGGGGGTGCATGTGCCCCCCCCGACGGGGCTGGTGCCCCCCCTGGCAGCCGACACTAATGCTGTCGGTAGGGCTGGGGCCCCCCTTGACAGGGTCAGTGGCTTCTGCGGGTGCCTCCCCAGATTCAGGAGGCACCAGTCACTCATGCCTCCTTCCCCTCCATTCTCACAGCTCCCCCACCTTCCCCACCTGCCACTGCTGCTTTCTCCGCATTCTGGGGCGGGGGCTTCAAAGTTGCCCTGCCTGCTCCAGCGAGGCCACCTGGAAGTGGGCTCAGCTGGGAACAGCAACAGAAAGAGAGGTGTTGAGCTGGGGGTGCCAGGCAGAGTGGGAGACCCCCACCCCCCATGTAGGTCCGCTGCCCTTACATAGCCCATCTGGAGCAGACAGGAGAGGGTTTGAAGCTTCCCTGGCCCCGAACAGTGGGGAAAACAGGAGGAGCAGGTGAGGAGGGGAGGGAACCTGCTTCCAAGCATGGAGAGGAAGTGGGGGGAGGCTTACCTGCTTCGGGGTCTCTAAAGAAGTCTCTGGAGGCTGTCCTGGTGGGATGCGTCCCTACCAGCCGGGTAGGGGAGGAGGCTAGGAGTGGGGGTGTCTGCTCCTGCATCCTCCCCTGCCCCACGTCAAATCCTGGATCTGCCCCAAATTGTCCAACCTCTTAGCAAAACCCTGACACAACACCAGACATAGCACCCGTAGCACCCTGAAGAAATATGGGACTACCCCCCCCCTTGGCTTTAGTGCCTAGCAGTGGTTCCTTACACACCCAGGGTCTTTCCCATCTCTGCCCTTAAATCCCTGACTCTGTAGGTGTGGGTGTGTGTGGGTGTGAAAAGCTGTGTCTGGGAGTGGGTATCATACATGTGTGAAAAGCTGTGTGCATCTGGGATGAAGTGTGTGCGTGAAAAGCTGTGCATTTCTCTGGGAGGGTGCATGTGTATACATGAAAAGCTATGTGTCTGTGAAAAGCTGTGTGTGTCAGTGGGCAGGGGAGTGTGTGTGTATGTGCCTGACGTGCATATATGAACTTATCTATGGAAGAGAGACGATTGTGTCAGTGCATGCATATGGAAGACAGGTGTGTGTCGGTGGGTGTAAGTGTGTGTCTGTGAGGTGGTTATGCAACAGTAGCTTTGTATCTCAGTGGGTGTGTGGGTGGATGTGGGTATGAAAACCTTTATGTGTCAATGGCATGTGTCTACATGTGCTTATATGTGGAAGGGAGATGTTTGTGCCAGTGCATGGTGTGGAAGACAGGCATTACATGTCAATGGTGTAGACACAGCAGTGTGCCTGTATGTCAGTGGGTGTGCATGTGCATCTTTATATGTGGAAGACAGCGTTGTGTATTTGTGGATGTGAGGGTGTATCTGTGTGGGTGTATACATAATAGCAGCTTTGCGTGTCAGTTGTGTGGGGGGGTATAGACATGACAGCAGCTTTGTATGTCAGTGGGGGTGCTAGTGTGTGAATGTGTACATAACAGCAATTTTTGTGCGTCAGTGTGTGGGTACTTGTATGTGGAAGACAAGCATTGTGTGGCCATGTAAATGTGTACACAACAGCGGCTGTGTGTGTCAGTACGTAAGTGCAAATATGTGTCCTTATATGTCAAAGATGGGTGTTGTGTGTCTGTGGGTGTGTGTGTCTACGTGAGTGTGTACACAGCAGCAGCTTTGTGTGTCAGTGTGCGTGTATTTGTGTGTACTTATATTTGGAAGCCATTGTGAGTCAATGGCCACAAGGAAGTGTGCGTGCGGTGTGAGTAGGGGAGAGATTACAAGTCTGCATGAGCCAGATCGTGTGTGAGATGGCATGCGCGAGTGGAACTGGGAGCAGTGGCACCACATAGAGGGTGCACATGCATGTGCCCCCCCGATTCAGGAGGCACCAATTGCCCATGACTGGGAGTGGTGCCATGTGGCCAAAAGGGATGGTGCGTGAGTGTGCAACTGTGCGCAAGGGGCTGTAGGTGTGTGTGAGGGAGTTAAATGGTGTGTGCGGGAGACTTACTGTATTGTCGCACATACAACACACCCCTGGAATATATCACACCTCACTTTTGAAAGGCAGAAGGAAGGAGGAAAGATCTTTCCCTGGGAGCCTCTGTGGGGTGGGAGTGGGGGTGAGGGTGGGGTGGGGCTGGAAATTGCCCCTTGCCAGCAGCTATGGAGGCCTTCAAGGCCCATGAGCAGTTTTAATTTTGCTCCCTACCCCCTGCCCAGAGACTGCTGTTACCATATTTTCTCAGTTATGTATAACACAAGCACACAATCTGATTTCCAGCAACTGAGTCAAAGGTGGCGGGGGCATGTTGTATATGACAAATATGGTATTGCAGGCCTTTGAGGCACTTGCGCTCTGTAGCCAGGTGTGTGTGTGTGTTGTGCAGATGGTGGGGGGATCCATGCAGCTGCCTGGACAGGAGACTGCTGCTTTGTGTTGTGCTCTGTGTGTGTGTGTGTGTGTGTGTGTGTGTGTGTGTGTGTGTGTCCGTGTCCTGAATGCCTGGGTTTTATGAGTGTGTGTGTGTGAATGAGAGAGACTATGTTTGCCTAAGGGAGTCTTACTGTATGTCTCTAAGAGAGTCTCACTTCTGTGTGTGGAAGGGAGGTGTGGTGTGAAGAAGCAGCTGTCAGTGTGTGTGTGTGTGTGTGTGTGATAGAGAGAGAGAAGGAGACAGCTGCCCTGTGTCACACTATGTGTATATGTGTCCCAGACACTGGTGTATGATTGTGAGTGAGTGTGTGTGTGTGTGTGTGTGAGTGAGAGAGACACCTGGGTTCCGTGTGTTTGTGTGTGTCCTGAATGCCTGGGGTATGTGTGTGTGCAGGAGAGCATAGGCAAGTGACTTTTCACACCCCAGCTGGTGCCAGCCCCTCCTGCCCCCTTGGCCAGGCTCAGCCCTGCCCTCTGCCCCACTTGGTGATGGGATCCTGGGTCCATCTGGTGCCTTGTGGGCGCAGGCAGAGCCCTGCCCTTGGGTGTGTGAGCTGGAGGCCCTAAAGAACTTGGGGGGGTGTCTGTGGGCAGGACGCCTGTGGGTTCCTACCCTGCCTTTAGCTGACAAGCACAATCTGGTAGCATAGAAGAGCGGGGTGGGGAGCTGGGAGCCAGGATGCCTGGGTTCTCTGGGAAGGGAGCAGGGGCAGGTGTTTTTTATCAAGAGAGGCCAGGAGCCCAGACCCCTGGCTTCTCTTCCCTCTCTGGGAAGGGGCATGGAACTGGGAGCCCAGACTACTGGGTTTTCTCCCCTTGCTTCCCAGAGCTTCCCCTTGGTCTCATGTTCAGGCCCTGCCCACACCCAGCAGTGCCCCACCCCCTCCCAAATCCCATCATGCCCCCACCTTAAACCCAAGCCTAGGAAATCCTCCCCCGGGAGCTGCTGGGACTCATCAGGACTCTAAAATCTCTGGGTGACAACCCAGGTCCTGGTTCCACTAGGGACCACCCTGGGTCACCCCTCCCCCCCCTCCCTGCACAGCCCCCTGTCCCACCCTCAGGAGGATAGAAGATAGATTTTTCATTCCCCGCCCCCTGGATGTCCTGATGCTTCCCTGGGTCTCCCCAAAGCTGTTGTGCCCATGGAGCTCTACACCTACCTCCATGGACCCAGTGCAACAAGGACCTGAAGACACAGGCACACACATACCCCAGACCATCACCTTTGGATCATCCCCACCAGCAAACCATGAGCGGGAATGATGGAGACATCTGGAGACAGCTATATTTTTTCACTCAGGAGGGATGTAGGGATGAGATCTGGTGATAGGTCCAAGAAGAACCCAAGAGCTTGAGAAAAACTCCCTTTGGGGAAAACCATGAAGAACCGGTGTCTTTTCCCCAACCCGGAGAAGATGCAGCCGGAACAAAACAGCTCTAAAAATATATATCTTCCCCCCCAGCGATGGGACAGCTCAGATGTCTGGAGATAGATCTCCTCTCATCTCGAAGCCGAGGAGCCAGTGACTGAGGACGTTTGAGGGGGTGTGGGATTGTGACCCTCTTCCGTTGCTTAATTAACCTAACCCCTGAACGAAGCGATGAAGGGGAGTAGAAACAGGTAGTTTGAGCTCCGTAGTTCCACCCGGATTCCCGGCCTGGAATATTAAATAGAAACAAGGTCTGTTTGATAATCCCTTCCCCCCACCTCCCGCCAAATTTTTGTGGCCTACAAAAGAGTCTCCAGGTTGGGTTGTCCCTCACATCCACCACGGCCCCAGCTCCATCCCCCGGTGGGTCACGGGGGGCCAAAACGATGAGTTCTGGGTGGAAGGATCCACTGCCAGGGGAAAGAGGGGCAGGAGGTTGTCTATCATGTGTAGGAGTAATCTATGTCGGGGATCCCCCCGTCTCTGTACCCCCGCGTTGTGCCGTAGCCGATGGTGTGGGTGCTTTTGTAGAGGCTGGTGCCGTTGGAAGGGAAGATGGTGTGAATGACATACTCCTCCTTGGCCCCGTGGTGGTTGATGGGCAGCATTTGTAAGCCAGGGCCCCTGATCTCCAGGATGGAGTTGTCCTTCTTGGTACCCGACTCCACATAGTCATCCTTCTTGCGGCTACCCCGGCTGTAGGCCCGGTGGCCTCTCAGCAGCTCGCCGGCCCGGTGGACGTACCAGCAGATAGCTGCCAAGATGAGGAGGAGGAAGACCAGTGCCACAGCCCCGCCCACAATGCCTGCCAAAGGTAGTCCGGCCAAGGGGTCTGCGCCCTGCTCCCGGTTGAGTGTGGTGGTGGGGCCATAGGCATCAGCTGTCTCAGCTTTGGCACACACGGGTGTCTCATTGGCCACATAGGCCTCACCAGTCTCCATAGTGACCATGCAGATGATGTAGGTGGACTTGGGCTCCAAGGCCGTCAGGAGATATTCAGTCTTGTCCCCCTGGACCAGCGTCTCAGTGATGGACCCCACTGCTGGGCTGTGACCTAGACGGAGCCAGCTGAGGCGGAAGGAGGCAGCAGGGAGCAGGGCCTTCCAGCTGATCCAGATGCTGTCAGCCGTCAATGGCTTGACGGTGAGTACCAGGGCCTTGTCGCCAGCCCCTGTGGCCAGCGGGTAGTCCACATTGGAGTCTGGCAAGCGGATACCCGGCCGCTTGGCCTTGAGTGTGAAGAGGGAGCCTTGGGGCGTGGTGACGGCTGTATCAGCTGCTGTGGTTTTGGCTGGCCCGCCCACCTCAAAGCACTCGTCCATCTCATTGGTGATGTCCTTGATGGCCATGCCCCGCACCTTCTCTGGTCCCTGACACATCAGCCCCCTCACGTTGACCACAGATGCCCGGGCTTTCACCCAGTCCCTCAGCCACATCAAGTTACAGCCGCAAAACCATGGGTTGTTCCTCAGAAGAAGCTGGCTGAGGCTATCCAGGTCATCGAAGAGCCCTTTGGGCAAGGTGGTGAGGTTGTTGTTGGACAGATCCAACCTCTCCAGCTCCCGCATCTTGGCCAGGGTGTTGTAGGGCACGTGGCTGATGGCGTTGTCCTGGAGATATAGCTTCTGGAGCCGGGAGCTGGGCAGGTTGAGTGGTGGGGCGGCCAGGGAGTTCCTCACCAGGGACAACTCACTCAGGTTCTGCAGGCGGCTGAAGGTATCGTCAGCGATGCGCTGGTTGGCCAAGAGGTTCCCATCCAACACCAGGCGCCGGAGATTGTGGAGCCCCTTGAAGGCATGGAGGGGGATAGTGGAGATACGGTTATCATCCAACCGCAGCTCTTCCAGCGTCCGGGGCAGGCCTGAAGGGATGCTGCTGAGATGGTTCCTGGAGAGGAAGAGCAGCTTGAGGCGGGCACTGTCGGCAAATGCGTCCTCCTCAATGCTTACGGTGGAAACAGAGTTGTCATCCAAGTGGAGCTTCTCTAGCAGTGGGAGCCGGGCCAGGGACTCACGGGCGATGGCCCGGACATTGTTGTCCTGCAGATGCAGCTCCCGCAAGGACCGGGGCAGGTTGACGGGGAACTCGTCCAGGTCATTTTCGTATAGGTAGATGACCCTGACACTCAGCTTGGCCTTGAGTTGGACAGGGATCCCAGCATTGCTGATGCGGTTGTTCTGGAGGTACAGTGTGGTGGCGCCCTCGGGGATATCGTCGGGCACAGCTGTGAGCCCCCGGTCGTTGCAGTAGATGAAACCCCCATCGCAGCGGCACACAGATGGGCACGGTGTCCCCCCTGCCAGTGCAGCGGCTCCCAGCAGGGCCACCAGGCTGCAGCACAGCACCCGCCAGCTGCGCAGCTCCGGGGATGCTGGGGGGGCCGGGGCCACTGCGGGGGGCGCTGCCCGCATGGCGCCAGGGGGGCGGGGTGAGGGCTCCGGGACCTGTGGTTTGTGGGGGAAAGAAAGGGGAGTCTCAGTCTGAGGGGTGGGGTTTATGCCTCTAGGCTCTTGCCATCTGTCTGTCCATGCTCTGCCATTCTGTCCATCCATCCATCCATCCACTTGTGCTTGCTTTGTCTCTCAATACCCACACACCCCCTCTACCTACCTACCTGCCTACTAACCCATCTGTTTGTCTGTCATTATCCAGCCATCCTTCCATCCATTCCTATACACCCTTTCCACCTACCCAGTAATCTATCCATTCATCCACATATGCTTGCTCCTTCTATCCCCATACACTCTGTCTGTCACAGAATCAGAGAAAAGATATCTGTCCCCATACGTTCCTTGTGGCATCCCCTGTCTGTCTGTCCTCAGTTTCTTATCCATCCATCCATCCACAGTTGCTCTATTTCTCTATCTCCACACCCTCCCTCTACCCACCTACATCTATCCACTCTCTTCATCTTTCTATCTGTCTCTTTCTCTATCTATTCCTATACACCCCCTGTGTCTGTCTGTCTGTCTGTCTGTCTTCCATCTTACTCCTTTTCCTCCACCCATTCATCCATATCCTCGCTCTGTCCCCTCCATCCCTCCCTCTGTCCCCCTCTGTCCCTGCATTTGGGAGCCCTACATGGATCCCCCACCATCAAGACCAGCACCCCCTCCAAATATGAGCAGGTCCCCACAGAGCTCAGAACCCCCAGTGCTGCCTCCCAAGGTGCTGTCGCGTATTGAACCCAGGTGTCCAGGCCCCCCAAACCCAGCAGATCTGACCCAGCAGCAGCTGCGCTGTTGTTGGCTGCTTTCCAAATGCAGCTGGATTCCTGATCCAGCCCCTTGCCCCTCTGCTAACAGCCCCCATCCCCACCCTACTAACAGCCCCCCTGCCCCCCCAACTTGCTGAGCGGTAATCACAGAGATCCATGTTAGAGCCTGAGCTGTGACATTGTCTGTGTTATTGGGGCTGTGGCCCCTGTGCCCCCCACTCCAGCCCAGCAGGCCCTGGGAGGGGTAATGGCTGCAGACCCACAGGGTTTCTAGAGGGCTAGGGGGGTCCCTGGGAAGGGGCGGGTGGCTGTAAAGGCTGACGGGGAGGGGGCGGGGAATGAACAACTGTGTTCATTCGTGCCCCCCACACACCTCCTCTGTCATCTGCTCATCCACCTGTCCCCCAACACATCTCACCTGTCTGTCTGTCCATCCACCCACACCTGTCTCTGTCCATCCATCCCCCACACATCTGCTCTATTTCTCTGTCTGTCTGTCCCTCCATACCCTCTGTCTGTTATCCATCCATCACCTCACACACCCTCTCTCTATCTCGGTCTGTCTCCCCACACACCCCTTTCATCTTGTCCGTCCATCCGTCCATCCATCCGTCCGTCCATCCATCTATACCCCCATGCACCCACCTCCATCATCTATCTTCCCTTCCCCCCACACACCCCTTCTATCTGTCTGTCTGTCCATATATCTATCCACCCCCACCTATCTATCTATCTATCTATCTATCCTTCCAAGCTCTCCTCTATCATCTGTCTGAGTCTGCCCATCCCTCCACACACCATCTATTTATCTGTCTGTCTATCCATCAATTTATCTATCCATCCATCCATCCCCCAACACATCACCTCTATCATCTGTCTATCCATCCATCTCCCATATGTCCACTCTGTCTGTTGCCTTACACGCCCCTCTGTCAATCTGTCTGTCCATCCATCCCCCAATACAACCCCTGTCATCTATATGTCCATCTCCCCCACACCCTCTCCCCATCTGTTCATTCATCCCCCACACATCCGCTCTATTTATTTCTCTGTCTATCCCTGCACACACCTCCTCTTTCTGTCTGTCTGTCCCCCCACCCTTTCTGTTATCTGCCCATCCCCCAACACCCCCTATCTATTTGTCTGTCTGTCTGTCCCCCACAACCTCTGTCTGTCTGTCCATCCATCCATCCATCTTCCACATGCTCCCTCTCTCTGCCTGTCTGTCTGCCCACACACCCTTTCCATTTTATCTGTCCCTCTGTTCCATCTCATCTAGCCCTCCATCCCCCATATCCCTATTCTGTCTGTTGGTCTGTCTGTCTATCCATCTACCTCCCACACACCCTTTATCTTTCACCTATCTATTTATCTATCTGTCCATCCCCCCATACACCCCTTCTATCTACATATCTATCCAACCATCCCACAACACACCCCCTCTGTCATCTGTCTATCTGTCCATCAACCATACCTTCTCTGTCTGTCTGTCCATCCATCCCCCACACATCCACCCTGCCTGTTTCTTTGTCTCTCCATTCGCATACACCAGGGGTGGGCAAAATGCGGCCTGGGGGCCAGATGCAGCCTGCCAGGCCATTCTATCCAGCCTGCAGGGACCCTAAAAAAATTAGAAAATTAATATTTATCTGCCCCTGGCTGCCTATCATGTGGCCCTCCATGGCTTGCCAAAACTCAGTATCGGCCCTCTGCCCAAAATAATTGCTCACCCCTGACATACACCCTCTGTCTGTCTGTCTTCCCACAGTCTGTTTGTCTGTTATCCATCCATCCCCCCCCACACCGTCCCTCTATCCATGTATCTATCTGTCCCCCACACCCTCTCCATCTGTCTGCCTGTCCATCTGTCCATCCATCCCCCACATACCCACTGTCTGTCTCTGTCTATCCCTTCACACACCCCTTCCATCTTATCCAACTATCCAGCCATCCCCCCATGCCCCCTCTATCTATCTATCTATCTATCTATCTATCTATCTATCTATCTATCTATCTATCCCTTCACACACCCCTTCCATTTTATCCATCCATCCATCCCCTATATCCCCTCTATCTAATTCTGTCCATCCATCCATCCTCCATTTATCCCCCTGTAAGCCCCTCAGTCAATTTATCATTCAATCCCTCCATCTGTGCACACCTCCTCTGTCTTTCTATTTAGCTAACTATCCATCTATCCCCCAACAACTTGCCTATCTGTCCATCCATCCTTCCCCACACTCCTTTTTTATCTATTGGAGAGAGGGGCTGGGAGCCCAGGCACATTCTCTCCAGCTCTGGGAAGACAGTGGGGCCTAGGGGCTGAGAGCAGGCCCGGATGCCTGGGTTCTCTCCAGCTTTGGGAGGGTGGGGGCTGCAAGGTTACAGCTGTAGCAGCTAAGGATGGAACCCAGGCATCCCGGCTCCCAGCTCCCCCCTGCTCTACCCCACCATCCCCCTCTCCCTTCCCGGAGCTGGGAAGAGAGAGAACCCAGGAGATCTGTGGCTTGTTAAAAAAAACAAAAAAAACCCTCCACTGCTAATTATTTTGCTCATTTCATGCTATTTGCATGCGCTTTATCTCAGCTCTGGCTGCACCCAGGTATGCAAATCTCTCTGAATATGATTACTGCCTTAAAGAGACGTGCATCTCATAGGAGACTTGCTGGAAAACCCAGGCTTGCCAAGGTTACTGGTATCAATCTTCCTGGAAGATGGACATCCAGATGAGGGTATTTGAGTGCAATTAGCAAGGTCCCCTTGTTAGGGGAGAGATGCAGGTTCCAGGCCGGGGGAGCAATTGGAGTGGGATGGGTTTATCTGGATACATGGGAAGGAGCTATCCATTTGTGGTGAATTACACATTTTGTGGGCAAAAATGATGAATTGGGAAATTAAGTTGAGGGTTGCAGAGGGGGGAAGAAATAGTGGGGGTTGGGTGGTTGCACAGAGCCCGGTGCCCCTGACCCCAGCCTGGGGGGTCTAATAAGTGCCCAGCACCCCCCAGTCCTGGCTTAGGGGATCTGTATTGCACCCAGTGCCCTCATCTGGGCCTGGGGTTTGTACAGCACCCAGAGCCCCCCAGTCTCGGCCTTGGGGGGTCTGTACAGTGCTGGCCACCTCCTGGTCCCAGCCTGGGGAGGTCTGTACAGCCTCTGGTGCCCCCTTATCCCAGCCTCAGAGGTCTGTACAGCACTCATTCTCTCCTAGTCCCAGCCTGGGGGGTCTTTACAGTGCACAGTGCCCCTCCCCATCCCAGCGCGTGGGGGAGGGGGGGCAGAGCAATTAGTACAGCACCCAGTGCCCTCTGATCCTGGCCTGGGGGGTCTGGACAGGAACTGTTGCCCCCCAGTCTTAACCCAGTGTGTCTGTACAGGGCCTGGTGCCCCCAGTCCCGGCCAGTGGGGGGTCTGTCCAGCACCTGGCATCCCCAGTCTTGGTCTGGGGGCTCTGTACAGAGCCCAGCATGCTGGAGACCCCCGGCAGACCCCAGACATCTCCCCTCCTTCCCCCTCCCTGCCCTGCAACTGCCTCTATTGATCAGCTTCTTCAATCAATAATAATTAGCTGGCCCCTGGGGCCACTCAAAGCCAGGCTCCCTAAGGAAGCTTGAGGGTGGGGGGGGAGAAGAAGGCTGTGCTTGGGCCTTATCCTGCTTGGGTGCTGAGTCCCCTTGTGGTGTGGTCAAGACCCCAGCCCCACTTACAGCTCCTGCTCCCCTCTTGAGGGCATTGTAGCTTGGCTCTGGGTGTACAGCGCCTAGTGTGGAGGTCTCTGACTGGGGCGGGGGGCACCATAGGAGTTTGGGTCTTGCAGTCACCAAACAGATCGAACCCAGGGGTCCGGACTCTCAGCCCCTGCTCTGGACCCTCCAGACACCAATCCCCTTGCTGAGTGGGGAGAGAACCCAGGAGTCTGGGCTCTTAGCTCCCCCTGCTCTCACCTCCCAGACCAGCCCCCCCCAGCTGGAGAGAACCCAGGTGCCCGCCCCCACCCCCACTTGTTCTTACCTTCCTCTTCTGTCTCACGCCTGCCCCTCCCTACCCAGCAGAACTCTATTTCAGGGCAGCAGAGTCCCCCTGGGATGGGGCCTGTGGGGGCACAGCTCAGACCCGTCGCAGCTCCATTGTCAGCAGCTAACGAGGCCCTGCCAGCCCCTGGCCCGGGCGCACACAGCCTCTCATGGTTACAGCT